CTTGAGCTGACTGACCCCTGAGCACTCAGGGAGAGTGAAAAGAGAATTAGCTCAAGTGGAGCGATTGTGCATGGGAACTAGGTCCATTTGATGCAGAGCCCCCTCACGCTGTATGTTTCCAAAGCCTCGTGTGGCTAAAGCTGTGAACACAGTGGCGGAGTTGGCTCACGGAGCTATGGCCAACATCTTCAAACCTGGGGGCACAGTCAAAATCCATCCTGAGTCACCTAAACTAGGGGCCTGACGTCCCACGGCTCCAGTTCCAGTCAGTGGATAAGAGTGCGACTTGTAAGGGCAGGCTCCTGGTCCTATTTAGAACCTATGTGTTATGCTGAACACTTCCCTCCTCTAGAAGCTAATGGTATAGCCTCAGCGACGGTATCCCTTTAAATACCCGGAGTACAAGAATAACCTCAGTGCACTAGGTGCAGTTGTACTTGTCCAATATGTTTGTACTGCACCTAGCATAGTGGGCACTGATCCCTGATTGGGACTTCTAGGCCCTATGATAATACACACAATGTATTATTATATATTATTATTGTTATTATTATTAATAATAATAATAATAATAATAATAATAACATCATCTAGTCCAAGTAGATCTCCAAGTGCTTGACAAAGAAGGTCAGTATTATTCCCATTTTACAGATGGGGAAACTGAGGCACAAAGAAGGGCAAAGTCTTGCCCAAAGTCACCCAGAAGGCCAGAGGATCAAGCTCCAAATAGAACCCATTAGGTACATTTCCTCTCCTGCAGTGATGGGAAAACCTCAAAAGGAGTTCTTTGCTGCTCTAGCCTCCTCTGTGTTGCAATTATTGTACACTTGTAGAATCCTGTAATCTATTGGGTTATATGTGTGTGTGTTGCAAAGCCCTGTACTGGAGTGCTGTACTGTCTGAAGTACCTCTCCTGAGTTTATTTTTAATTCCGCCTCACCTTTGGCTGATTAGTGCAAATTACATTTCACCCTGATTGGGTAGTTAGCATACGATTTGGATATGGATCTGGTAACCCTAGGAGTGGGAAGACTGTTCTGTGCAAGCAGTTTCTTAGAAGAGCTACAGACTGACACCAAATGGAGCGAGATGATGAAAAAAAAACCAAGCAACCCCCATAAAGCTACCCTATGGAACTCCTTGCCTCAAGATAGTATGTGGTCAAGAGCTCAGCAAGCTATGTAAAAAAATGATGTTCACTTAAGTGACAAGAAAAGTTAAAATAATTAACTTAGAGTCTGGAAAGGACACAAACCCTCATGTTTCCGGGCACAAGCCAACCTCTAAGGGCACATCTATGCCGGGGAGTTATTTCAAAATAACTCCCCTTATTTCGAACTAACAAGGCAAGCACCCACACTCCCACGCCTGTTATTTCGAAATAAAGGGCTCATTATTTCAAAACAACAACTCCTGCTGGTGAAGAGGGATCTGCTTATTTCGAAATAGTTATTTCGGGTGTGATTATTTCGAAATAACCTGGTAGTGTAGATGTAGTCTCCATGACAGAAGTCAAGAGGTTCTCCCGGGAGGCTGGGGAGTGTTATTCCATAAGTCTCTGTTGCAGAGTTTCTTGCACCTTTCTCTGAAGCAGCTGGTAGTGGCCACGGTTGGAGCCAGCATCTGGATGAGATGGACCACAGATCTGAGGCAGTGTGGCGGTTTCTATGTTTTAGAAGCAAGCCAGCCCCGGAAAAGCTAAGCTGTTGGCCTACTAACATTGGCCCCGTCTGCATCTCAGAGCTGGAGTTCAAAGCCACTTTTCATCATACTGTGAAGGGGAAGCAGCACTTATCTCTCCCGTTCTCTGCTCTGTCACACCTCTCCAGGGGGAACCACTCTGATAAGAAGCCGATTTCACCTGAGGCCTGGAACATTAACTTTGACACTGAAAAGGGGATATTTTATGGCCCTTGAATATTTCTGCATCTCTTTAAAATCTCTCCTCCCCCACCCTATGACAATTAAAAGCCTCTCTTCGGTTAACTCTTTGAATCTTGTCCAGTTCAGGCTGGTTGGCTTATATAGTGCAGAAATCAACACATTCTGGTTACATTTAATGGCTTTTGTTATATATTGTAACACGCTGTCTAGTCGGCGGACAATATTTTAATGGCTGCTATGGCGGATTCATCCAAAACCTGAAACATACCTTTGTCAATGACATATTTTAGTCTATAAAGCTGACATGTTCAAACTGCAGCAGGTGAAGGAAAAGGGAATGGGAGACTTTATGAGAGGAGACTAACAGAGCTTGCTTTATTTGCCCTATGTGGCCAGTTGATCCCAGCTGCTGTTTAGAATGAACCACTTGGACCAAATGTAATTGCACCACAAACCTCTGCTGACAACAAAATTTACAACATGACCCCATCACCCTGGTGTGCGTGTGTGTGTTGGGGCGAGGGAGGGAACCCAAGCTTGACCCCACTGCCTGGGGCTGAACCCTGAGCCCCTCCCCATAGGACTGAAGTATGGGCCGCAGGCCGCAGCAAGTCTTACGCCAGCCCTGGTAACTCCATTAAAACTCGATCACAACCCACTTTGGGACCCCAATGCACAGTTTGGGAACTGCTGACTTAGACCATTGGCCCCCTAACTCAGGAGTGATGAACGGGTTGGAAAGGGTTGAGATAGCTGTTTCTTTATGAACAGAGGGATCACAAAATGAATTTTTTCCCCAACAAAAGTTTTAGGTGGAAATAAAAAACCAGGGTGTTATGTTCATCAACACATTTTTTTTGAAAGTTTTTGAATTTTCATGAAAAAAATATACATTTTTGATTTGCAAGTTTGAACTCTTTTTTTTTTTTTTTTTTTTTTTTGACAACGCCCAAAAAGGTAAACTTATCTTTTTTTCTGGACAAAATTTCTGTTGACTCTAGAAGCCATTTTCCATTGAAAAAATATAAAGATGAAGCTTCATTTGTAAGACTGGGACATGGATCAGAAGTATGAAAACCACTGAGTAACATGGCTGTCATGGGCAGTGAGTAATGCAGGCAGGGGAAGGAGTTGTTTCCCCAAAACCACTTACACTGCATGGCTCTCTGGGACTATGGTGCTCCATCCCCATCCCTATGGGTGGCCAGGAAGGATCAGGCTTGAGGGCTGGGGTTGGACAGGGGTTGGCTGGGCAGAGAGCTTGTTGAAAGAGGATGGTCTTAGGGGAAGGGGTGTGGCTTTGGGCAAAAGAGGCAGGGCTTGGGTTTTCCTTCTTCATTTGGGCCTTCACCCACTGCCCATGAATTGGCTCTTCCCTTGGTTCCCAAGAGGCAGGAGAAAAATCGCCAACATACCCTGTGCGGCGGTGCCATTGCCTACACTTTTCCCATGGTCCCTACCCAGTGCCTTCACGCTGACTAAGTTTTCAGCCTGTCACCTGTTTCCCCGGCAGAGAGCGGATTGTTAACTTCTGCTGACACTGGCAAGGAGAAGCCCCTCCCTACCCTTGATAACTCATGGCAGCAACACTTGCACAAATCTTTAATTGTTTAGTTTAAAGAATTGTGTTTTGACCGCAAGGGGATTTTGGCTGGAGCTCAAGAACTGATAATGATATTTTGCTGCCAAGACGTCTTCTTGGCTCTGCTTGTGCTAATGCACACTTTCAAGAAGCTCCAATTAACTGCATCAGCTCTCACTGAGCGAGAGAGAGAGGAATAGGGAAGAAAGAAAGAAAGAAAGAAAGAAAGAAAGAAAGAAAGAAAGAAAGAAAGAAAGAAAGAAAGAAAGAAAGAAAGAAAGAAAGAAAGAAAGAAAGAAAAGTTTGAGAGAATCAATGCAGATTTAGTGTTTAACCCTCTTTTGAGAATGAAATCACACGAAATTGACACATAGGCTGAAAGTTCTATTACTGATCCAATGGCCAAAGCCACATGTTCTCTCCAGTTAATGATTCTATTATCCCGTTGGCTTTGATAACGGAAGTCTTTTTCTTCTATCCCTAGCAGATAGCCACGCCTCTCACTGGTCCAAAGGGAGCCTGAGGCCTGGGGGTCGGGAAATACAGGCTGGGTCCAGTGATGGAGCTCGTTGGCAGCCACCCCCTTCACCGTCCCTGCTCCTCCGGCTCCCTGCTGGGACTGACGCGTCTCGCTGTGCTGAAGGCAGCCCTGGCAGAGGGAGGTGAGTCTTATGCACAGTGGGGACTGTTGGCTCCATGGGGAAGCAGCGGGGGGTGCCCCTGTAATTCAGAAATTTTAATTCTCAGCCTTCTGCTTTGGCGGGAGAGGTTCAGCCCGGGTGGAGCCCCGCTGATGTCAATGGAGTTGCACCAGGGAGAGGCTTGGCTCCAGGAGTTTAAAGGACAAAAGGAAGGGCATGAAAAATACAAGGCCCAGGGATTTTGCTCAACACGTCATGCCAGACAGGCTCCGAACAGGCCTCAGCTTCCAAAGACGGAGGGAAAACATCTGAGCGGCAGGCTACGAGCGCATCCCTACGTCAGGTCCGGCCTGTTCCAGCAGGAGATGGCCTGGGGCCGGGTTTCTCAATGACCCGTCCGCGGATGGCAGCCAGTCCCTGAGATCTCCGTGACACAGTTTAGGAAGGCCTCAAGCTGGTCCCGGGTATGCAAAAGGTTGAAAAAAAACCCTTGCTGTAGGTGGTGGGTGAGCTCAAGGTTTTTCCAGTCCCAACCTTTCCCAGCAGGAGGCACTTCAGGGGATGATGTAGGAGCCTTTTTTGGGTGGGAGCGCACAGCTGGCTCCAGACTGTCGCGCCACAGGCGATGAGGTGCTCACATCTGTTCCAGTCCCTCCATCTCCCCTGCAGGAAGCGCTGTAGCAAATAGCATCAGAGCCGGTACTGGAGGGAGAGAGAAAGAGAACTGTGCTGTTCCAAGCAGCTGGAATAAGGACTGGGGGAGACTTTATGGCAGAGGTGAGCAATAATTTTCACAGGGGGGCCACTTAATGAATTTTGCAGGCGATGAGGTGCTCACATCTGTTCCAGTCCCTCCATCTCCCCTGCAGGAAGCGCTGTAGCAAATAGCATCAGAGCCGGTACTGGAGGGAGAGAGAAAGAGAACTGTGCTGTTCCAAGCAGCTGGAATAAGGACTGGGGGAGACTTTATGGCAGAGGTGAGCAATAATTTTCACAGGGGGGCCACTTAATGAATTTTGGTACATGGCCACAGGCCAGCTCTATCTTCAGAAGGGGCGGGGCCTGGGGTGGAAGAGGCGGGGCTGAGGATTAGCCTCCCCCCAGAGTTGTCTGGGGTCGGAGGCTTTGAATTAAAAACACAGCAAAGGGCTCACGGTTCCGTCCCATGCTGGGGATCCTGCTTCCTGAGCCACCAGCGGGAAATTTGGTGGTTCGGGCAGCACGATATAAATAGAAGTGGCCAGATGCCGTCTGTGGGCCGGATCAAAGTGTTAGGTGGGCTGGATCCGGCCCCTGGGCCACATGCTTTATGGCATACCCTCTGATCTGTAAGCTAAGAGCAGCCTGCCTCGCACTCATCTCTGTGCTCCGTGAATCCCCCCTCCTGAATTCCCTCCTGAAGGAATGTGGAGATTCTTCCTTGACAGTGTATTTTGTCCCTCCCATCCAGAATGGTTGGAGGGTGGATCCCTTATGAGCCTCTCTCCCCTCCTCAGTCTTTATGAGTGACACAAACAAGGTGAATAGTAATAGCGAGGTAGCCGTGTTAGTCTGATCTTGCAAAAACAAAACAAGGTGAATGAGCAGCTGAACTCCAGAGCATGTTGAGGAGGGGATGGGCAGCTTGTAGAGAAATTCCTGGTCAGCTCAGTAAATCAGGAGCTATTCTCTCCTCGCCCCTTCTTTGCCCCCTCTCAGCAGTG